GGGGTCGCCAGCCGCTCCGGACACGTGGGACACGCGGCACCCGCCCACCTCCACGCCCACTCCGCCGCCCCGGGGCCCGGCGGACCCGCCCCGGGCTGGGTGGGGGCACCTGCGGACAAGATTCCGTTTCCCTTCTGCTGCCCTTCCCTCCTTCCAGGCCTCGGGCACCCGCACCTGGGCCGGGCCTTGGAGGAAGAGGGACCGGGCTGCGCGCAAAGGCGCCACTGCCCGGGCAGAAGGCGGGGGAGGAGACCGTGCTACCCGGCTCGGACCCTAGCCCGGCCACGGGGTACCCCCTGCCTCCGAGGGTTCCCCCATGACCAAGGAGAGCCTGCTGTGGCCGGCCCGACCTCAACAACCAACGTGAAACACCTTTTCATCCCACTGCACGTATTTCACTCAAAACCCTTTTCGTCCCCAAGCCTTTATTGATCTGCTTGTGTGCCAGGCGCAGTCCTTCTTGGGCTGCACACAGACACAGACCAGGGAGCGGGCATGTTGGCCTAGGCTGTGGGGTGATGTCCCAGGCAGGTGACCTGGAGGACCCTCCAACAAGGCCCTCTGCTGGCCCCTGGCAGTCCTTCTGGTCCTGTTCCATGTTGGGATCCCAGGACTGAGCATACAGGACTTCAGAAATGACCACCTGTAATCCCAGCTGCTAGAGAGGCTGGAGGGGCCAGGGATATAGCTCAGCGGTAGAAGCTCCTGCCTGGCAAGCCCGAGGTCCTGAGTTCGATTTCCGGTACCAAAAAATAAATAAATAAACTAGAGAGGCTGAGGCAGGAGGATTGCAAGGTCAGGGCCAGCCTGACTACCTTTAAAAAGACCCTGTCTCAAAATAAAAAATAAATAGTGTTGGGGATGTAGCTCTCGAATTCCCGGGTTTAGTCGTTGAATGATTTATGGTCTGCTGATAACAGGTAATGTTCATCCAGTGGCCATAACCTGCCAAGCCCAGTTCCAGGCCTCGGGCATGAGTGGCTGCCTTGGCTCTAGAGGCCTGTGTGGTAATTACCCCTGACTGATAGAGTGCAGAGAGGACAAGACCAGGTGAGGGGCCTTTCCTGCCCTGGGCACACAGGGAAGGACAGGAGGGAAGGACCCTCGCTGGGTCCCAAATGTGTCAAGAGCCCCTTCAGCCCTTTCTTAAGGTTCAAAGGTCCCTTAGAGGGGGAGGAAAAGTTTGAGGAACAATGGAATATTCCAAGACGTTGTACACTGTGGTCAAGGAATTTGAAAGCCCCTCCAGGCTGAATTCCAGAGGGGAACCAGGTCAACACAGACCTGAAGGACCCGGCTAGAGGAAGGCTGGGCTGCAGCCCGAAGTCCCATTGGCCAGGCTGCCTGTCTGTGAGGGCCAGGTGCAGCTCTATTGGCCCTTTTATCCCAGTCTGACCCACCCCATCGTGCTTGGCCGCCCCCTTCCCGCTGCACAGCCTGACTCTTGGATCCTCTGGGCCCTTGATGGACAGCTAGGATCGCTGTGCGTGGCCTGTAGGCTCACCTGTCACCTGGGGTCTCTGGAGGCGCCAGGGGAGGGCTGGACACGGCTGTCCCTGAGAGGGTTTGTGAGCTCAGCGTTGAGGACTGGGAGGCTGGGATGGCTAGGTCCCAGCCTTGTACTTCCTGGCTGCCACTTGGGGCAGGTGGCTAATCGCCCTGAGACCTCAATTTCCTGCCTGTGCAGAGCTGTGTGAGATGACGCAGGGGAAGCACGCACATCAGCGTCCCCTGCCCGAGCATCGCGCTGACGGTGGAGGCGGCTGCCAACATTGTGACTGTTACTATCTGGCCTGCCCCATGAGACCCCGTCTCTAGGAGGGTGCAAAGGGGGCCACAGTGGGGGAGCTGGCCAGATAAACCAGGGTTTGCAGGTGGGGTCCAGTCCCGAAACACTACTACGATGGAATTATTTCGCTTGTGCCTGGGCTGAACTCAGAGTTCAAATGAGTGACAAATACATGAGTTCCTGAGGGTGGATGGGGGTGGGACTGGGAGCCTGGCGGGGCCCTGAGCTCCTCAGCGTTGCACATCCCCGGGTCAACCCCTCGGGCATGGCAGATTGCTGTAGAGCAGCGCAGAGCCAGGGAGTTGTGCAAGGCCCCCCTGCAGGTGCAGTCTGCAGCCCCGTGTGCCATGGCTACAGGCACAGCCTCGGGAGGGAGCCTGCTCGCAGGAGGTGGGTGGGGAAGGAAAGGGATCAGGTGCACTAGCAGGTGTCCCAAGCCATTTGTCAGCTGTGTGCTCCAGCTTGCTGCCAAGGAAGGGGGCCTCCGTGAGCTGGGACATGAGAGGGTCCCAAAGACCGGTCCGCTTTCTCCCCTCCCCATCTCTCCTTCCTCATTGCCTCTTTTGACAGCTCACTTCCGCTTCCTGCTCCCCGTTTGCTGGGGATCCGGACCCTGTTGGTGGCCACAGCACAAGGAAGGTGCAGGCAGACGTCTGACCCGCCAGGGGACATACTGGCCAAGTGCTTGCGGGGGACAGAGTGGGGCTGACCTCAGCCAGAGGGAACCAGAAGCAGCATGTGAGCAGCCTGGGTTCCCTTGGAGAATGAGTGGGGGACACAGGCCCCCGGCCGGCTCCTCCCCACAAGGGCTGGAAGAGGAGGAAGTGGCCCACAAGGAGCCGCAGCGGCAGCGGAGACGGAGGCAGGTGAGCCTGGGGGCGGAGGAGGCAGTGTCTTCAGCGCAGGCGATGTCTTTGGCCAGGTCCTGAAAGTCCCCTCACTGGGGAAGACTGGGCAAAGGAGCCTGGATCGCAGGAGCTGGGCTGAAGGGAGGGAGGCCCAGAGGGCTGGCCGAAGTCCATGCGCAGTTCTCTGGCCCCTTTCCTGTGCCCGGGCACCTGCCAGCTGGTCGGGGGACAGCCGAGGACACCCATGGCTTTGTAGAGGCTGAGCTGGGCAGCCGGACAGAAGCCAGAGTTCAAAGGGGCCCAGGACCCAGGGGCAGGGACAGCTGAGAAGCCTGTCAGGGAGGCCAGGGTGGAGCTGGGGGTGGGCTGCCGCTCCCGAGGTTGCCCATGTCCCAGCCAGCACCCCGGGCTCTCAGGCGCACACACAGATGTGCACACCCCAGCGCACGCAGAACTGCATTGGCACAGACATGTGAGCACACGCACCCTGGGGACACAGATGTGCCGAGAGGGACATAGATGCACAGAGAAGCATGCATGTTCAGAGACACACTCACATACACACATGTGCCCTGAGACACCGGTGCACTCATCATACACAGATAAATGTACACCTGTGCACACATCCACACATGCCTATGGGCTCTCCTGGGTGGGAGGGACCTTCCTCAGCCAGCTCCTCTGCTACCAGTGAAACCTTGTCTGACAAGCTCTTGGGAACAGGCTCAGGACTAGGCAGGTCCCTGCTGCATTCCTGAGCACCCTTCTTTGGTTGACAGGTTTTTGAGACAGGGTCATGATA